AAGTTTGCATCCTGCTATTGATTTATTTAAAAAAAATTATTAATCAATTTAAATCTTTGTAAAATTTCATAAGTTCATGAAGTTACAAGAAAATATAAATCAAGTGATTCATCGTTATGACTTATAATTTGAATAGTGTATTATAAATATTTTAAACTTCCGTAAATTTTTACGGTATGTAAGAAAATCGTAAACTTACACAATATGTTTATGCAAATTTACGCTTTTCTTACGATGCGTAAGAAAATCGTAAACTTATACAATATGTTTATACAAATTTACGCTTTTCTTACGATGCGTAAGAAATGCGTAAATTTGCATAATATGTTTACGTAAATTTACAATTTTCTTACGTATCATAAGAAAAGCATAAATTTGCATAAACACATTGCGTAAGTTTACGATTTTCTTACGTACCGTAAAATTTACGAAAGTTTACACTTATATATTTTTGCTGATGAATAATTTATATAAATAGGGTGGTTTTATATTTAAATATAAATTCACAAATTAGTGGTGGTAGAGAAAATCTACCAGATGATTCTAATGCTCTATTACCAACTTCTCCTCCATTACTTGAAGATGTATTAGAATGTTAAAGAATAGTTTGGGTTGGAATTTTTGAACATCTTAAAATCACAAACCCTATTATTAATTTTAATTTATACAATTGTTATTATACATATTAAATCTAATTTATTAGATTTTGATTATATAATATATTTTATTATATTAATTAAAGATTTTTTAATAAAATCGTCACAAACTATCTTAATACAATTAGTGATATTCATAGATTCATATTTACAAACTGGCACCAATTAGAAAAACTAAAATTGTTAAAAAAAAAAAACTATCTACTATGAATAAACCGAAAAGAAAATCTCCAATAAAAAAAATTATTAGAAAAAAGAAAAGTTGTACAAAGTGTGGTCGCTTGTTAAATGGCTTCTATAAGAAAAAATAAATTGAAAAAAAAATAAAATAGTAAAAAGAAAAAGAAACCCACTAACAACAAATAAAAGAATTTTAGGAACATGTAATATAGGATTTTGTGAAAATAAAAAACGTTTGAACACATGTAGATTTAGACGAAAAATGGAAACTCAAGTTGAAAGAGTTGTATTAGGTATACGTAAAGTTGACGAAAGAACTTTTTATTTTGATACTTTATGGAATAGATTATTTTATTATAGATTGTTTCAAGAAAAAAGTAATTTTAAAAATTTTGAATTACAAGATATATTAATACATTTAAAAATTACATCATATCATAATAGAGTGCAAGGAAGTACAATCAATATACCTGTTACAAAAGGTAATCAGGTTATTACATCTTTAT